AGAACAGTCTTCTACAGACCATGTATTACCAAAGGCGCTTTAAAGTACTATTCTATGGGCACAAGAAAGTGAGAGCAATTCTGAGGCCCAGATACAGGGAATGATGTAATTGATGAAATATTCAGTTGAGAATTGAGAATTAGGGATAAAATGAGTCCACACTGCCATTTGTGTCCTAATACTTTGGAAGAAAAAGAAAATACTAATAAAGGCAGAATGTGAAAAGATTTTAAGCCGTAACTTGGAGAAAGGATCTCAATTCCATGCTAATGAACTCTTGATCCTGAACTGCAAGGAAGTCTGATTTTCAAATGAATTCATCAGAAAGAAACCTGTGCACAAACACTCAGAACAGCTTTGTGATGAAAAACAATTACCTCTCTTTCCCCTGATTTGTAGGAAATGAGCAAGCAAAGCCTCTCAAAGATAGGACTGTATACCAGAAGCTTGTAAGTCTGTCATCTCCTGTGAACTTGGGCACAGGAGATCATTGCCCCCTGTAGTGTTGGAGATGAGTATTTCTGGAGGAGGGAGGATAATGAGTGAGTTCTAAAAGTGTTAGAAGTAAGAGAAAGTGAAGAGGTGGAGTTTCCCTGGAAACACCATGGCAGGAACCAAAATAAGTAGCTAGGAATGAGCACAGTGTGTTCAAACTGTAGAGCTGGTCACACCTGGTACTTAGGGAATAGGGACTCAGACCGTTTTGTTTATTGGTCACTTTTAACAATGAGATGTCTTGGATGAGCCTCTTCTCTGCTCTTCTTTCTTTACTCATAGAAAAAGAGGATTCCGTTTTGTTAAAAGTTCTCTTTGTCTAGGACAAGTATTTTTTTTTGGGGGGGGGCGGCGTTATGGAGTTGTTTTGTGTGTGTGTGTGTGTGTGTGTTTCTTTGTTTCTTTGTTTGTTTGTTTGTTTGTTTATGTATTTAAGACAGTGAGACAAGATCTTACTATGTAGTTTGGTTGGCCTGGAACTTGGTGTGTAGATAAAGTTGGCCTAGGACTCACAAAGGCAGAACTTCTCTGCCTCCTGAGTGATGAAATTAAAAGCATGGACCACCATGCCTGGCTAAATAAATACTTTAAATGTTAAAGTTCATTTTGTAATGCAGTTATAATTAAGCTTAACAAAATAAAAACAATCTGCTGCAGGCTCTCAAAATCATTTCTAAGGGACCAGAGAGATGGTACCGTTCTTGCAGAGGACCCAGGTTTGGTTCATAGCACCCACATGGTGCTAACAACTGTCCTTAACTCCAGTTCCAGAGAATCCAACACCACCCTCTTCTGAACTTTGTGGGCATTGCACATTAGTACATGCAGACAATATACTCACACATAAAATGAAAATAATGAATAAAATATAAAAATCATTTAAAAATATGTTTAAAATCAGGAAAGAAAATGGAAGCAGAAAATGGTTTCAGACTTGTGTGTGTGTGTGTGTGTGTGTGTATGTGTGTTATCTTTTAGCAAAACTAACCA